AACCCTTGTTTTAATACGTTGGCAAAGTTAGTAAGCAGCATTATTATCCCCTTTACATGAGCAATGGCTGTGCAGCTTCGCGCTCGAGGCGCTGGACCGTCTCTAAGAGCCACTCGAAGGTGTGTTGTTGCGCGATGCGCTTCAGCAGCCGCATCGTTTCCAGTAGCGACTCGCGTACTCCGGGTATCAGCGCGTATGTGCCCGAGCAGGGGCAATACTCGCGCATCTTGTGCTCGGCTGGCAGGTGGCATTTGCGGCAATACAGATCCTGCAACTGGTAGGCGACAGACTGCGCCTGCACCAGCTCCACAAGTCGCATCTCGAACGCAGTCTTGTCGTACAACGCAAAGCACCGAGGGCAATGCCAGGCCGCAGCCGCGTCAGCGTCGTCTCCATTCTCCTCGTCGTCTTCGTCCGTCTGTGACGCGCTTCCCTTGAAGAGCTGAGGGTCTCGACACAGGTCGACGGAGCGACAAAGGTTGCAGCTGAGGCAGATGACGTCTTGCACTGTAAACGATAGCGACGGGTTGCGGAACTGGGATTCCTCGCCGAATTCGCTCGTGCGCAGGAGCTTAAGCAACGTGCGTCTCATCTTGCCTACTTGAGTCTCCACACTGGGCTCGAGCTGGAACACGGCAGTCACGAACTTGACCAGCTCCAGTGCAGGCGACTCCAAGGGGAGATGCGACCCAGCGAACACCGGGAAGCTGTCCCGATCCATGTTGTACGTCAGAATCTCAGGGACCAGACGCAGCATCTTGTCCGAGAAATAGGACGACACCAGCTTCTGCGAGTACTTGGCCAGGGGACTGAGCTGCTTCTCGTCCTCGTCCAGAGGCTGTTCGTCCTCGTCAGCAGCGTCAAGCTTGGCATTGTCGCCCTTCGCGAGCATTCGACACTGGAACTCTGCTCGTCTGCGGATAAACTGCCCAATCAAGATGAGGAAATACTCGTCCACTCCACGAGGCAAGTAGTTGGCGATGTTCCAGTGCGCGACGATCTCCAGCGGCTTCTCTCCAGCGTCGTCGTGCTCAGTCTCCTCCTCCTCCTCCTTCTCCTGTTCTTGTTCTTCCTCTGGCACCACGTTCTTCAGCAAGACACAGCCGTAGTTCTCGGCATCCAAGAACAAGAGGTTGGAGAAATACTTCTTGGGAGTAAAGTTGAGCACCTGGAACAGCTCGTTGGACAGCACAGTCTGCAGGATGAAGTTCAGGTACGTCTGGGCGTCTCGCACCGACTTTTTCTTGGTGCACACGATGATCTTACTGAAGTCGGCGTACACAATCTGCGACCCGAGACGCCGGAACTCTGCCAGAAGCTGCAAGAACAGCTTCTCCATTAGCCGCTTCACCATCGCATGCAAGGCTGGGTCGAAGCTTAGAGAGTTGGGAGAACAGAGCCACCGGTAGAACTGCTGCAGAACGTGGTCGGCAAACTTGTTTCGACTCGCCAGGAAGTCTTTGAACAGCGTCGTCACCATCACACGCAGCAAGCGGAAAGCTTCGTGGCAACTCTCCTCGGCATCGCCTTCCGCGACTGCTGGAGCAGAACCTTCAGTCGCGCCTGCTTCGCCTTCGCCATTCCCGTCAAACTCAATCTCCATCTGATGCGCCACTCCCAGACCTTCAATACTGTGGATCTGAGACGCCACAAGGATCGCGTTGACTGCGAGACCGTCCAGCTCCAGCTCAACACACACATCCACAAAAGATCCCTTGTCGCAGACCACTACAGACGTGTCCACACGGTGCTGAGACGTCGCATCACTCTTCTGCTTCTGCGCCGAGCCCAACAGTGACTGACTGAAGAGCTGCTGGAACTGCTGCTCCTGCTCCTTGCCTCCAAGATCGGGCAGTGACGTCGGCGAGTGCCACCACAGATGCTTGTGCTTGGTCAAGATGCGCGAGTACAAAGTGTCCAAGATGGCGATGGAGTGGTCGCCCGTGAAGTTGCCCACTGGCAGATGAGCGTAGCGAGCACAGTCCAGCACATCCGCATAGTACTGAGTCATCTCGAAGCAGCGCGTCATCATTTTTTCTCCCATGATCTTCCGCCATGTCAACGCTGGAAAGAGCGTGTCCTCTTCGTTCCATGGCAGCATGGCAATGGGGAAGCTGTGTAGACCCTGCATCTTCTCGCGAAGACGCTTGCTGGATGGGATACACGTCTGCGCCACCACGATCGTCGGTTTGGGGGCAAGCTGCTTGTTCGAAACAAGCCGCGCAAGGGTGGCATTGACACCCGAGAAAGCCTCCTGCGCTGTTTTGACGACGTGGGTCTTGAATGAACAGCTCTGGATAGGAGCAGCAACGCCCTCCTCTTGAGACTCCAGGAGAAGCTGTTCGAAGAAATTCTTCAAGTCTGAGCCCCGAGACTTGACGTTCGAGACCGGATCGACGTACCAAACGTTGGCGTCTCCCTCGCTGACTGCCTTTCCCAAGCTCTCAGCACTGGCCACGTCGTCTCCTTCTTTCAGCGCAACCAAAGCCAGAATGGCGCGTTTCTTCTGCTGTGCAAAGTACAACAATACTCTGCGCATTAGTGAATCTGAAAGTGGAGCTGCTGTACCATTGGATGGCAAGTCCATGAGATACGGTGCCTGCGCCGTCGATTGGAACTGTAAATCGCTGAGTTCATACTCCTGGTTGGTGCTGGAGAGATGCGGGTTGACAACCTTCGCCACGCAGCCAAGTGCACAAACTGCTCGCGTCAACGCAGACACCTGCAGCTCATACACACCGCTAACATGAGGGTCACCCAGAATCTGATTGATCTCCTTGTGATACTGCTGATACTGCCGTTCGCTGAGCATTACTTCCAACACCGACTGAGGCTTGGACGAAAAGTGAGGCACAATGCGCGACACACGACGCGATCCTGGTAGTAATGACAGCAAACTCTCATGGTCTTCTTCTTCACAAGTGATGTGGAAAACCCGCGGCATCTTGAGGGTAATTCGCTGCAGCATCTGGGAATGTGCAGTAAGAACCCAGCACGTGAAGATCCCTCCTTGTTCTTGCTGAATCTCCACAATCTGCCAGTACTCGTGCTGCAGTGCACTCCCAGCATTGAAAACGAAATTCTCCATGCCAACTCCGTTGCCCTTTGCAGCCAATGCACGAGTAGACCCACTCTGGAAACGCTTTGCGTTGCCATGTACACTGTTCGCCATGCCAAATCCACTGTAATCGCGCATTCGTTCCTCTCGCTCACGTCGTCGCTTACCAAGCATGGACTTCCATTTCTTCTTGCGGTTCTTGAGCCACTGAGTGAACGGCACTTCTCCCAGCTTCACGTTAGCGGCAGGCACATCGTCAACGGCATCATCATCGATTTCCTCAATCGGACTAATACTGTCATCTCCGTCACTTGTTTTCTTTCCTCGCTTTCGTGACAGGGGCTTATCAGTGCGTGACGGTTGTTTTCCTTTAATTAAGTCCTCCATATCGATCAACTTAGCCACGTAGTCTCCTTTGTCAGCACCCTTCGCAGCAGCCTTAAAGAACTGCTTCATGTTACCCTGTTGATGCTTCGCATTCTTCTCGCGAACTTGCCTCCTCATCCAGTCGGGAAGTTCAATGCGTGGTACCGGATTCTTCACGTTCTGGAAAGCAGCAGGAAGCGAAATAATCTTCTGCACAGTCGAAGCGAAACGCGTACGGTAGTAATCCCAGTCCAGGATCGACCGAATGTCAAAGTCCTGGAGGTGAGGATCTTTCAGCCACTTCTTCAGGAAGTGCTTCTTGACGGCATCTTCTGTTGCGAAGATAGCCGTCGGGATAGCTCGCTCTGTCACCTTTTCACCGTACGGACGTGCAGCGATAATCATTTTGCACGTTAAACCTCTGTCCTTGAGCATGTCTTCACCGAGAAACTCACCCAAACGTCTAGCGGTAGTGATGGAGGTCGATTTCTGGCCTTCGTACTCGTCCAGCTTGCCCGACATACTCTTGTTCTCTGTAATCAACGCCATCAACTCTTCATCATCCATCGACTTGCCTCGGGTATCAATCACGTCAAGCCAGCGATTCGCACATTTCGCAACAGAAGCGTAGCACTCCTCCAAGCTGTCACCGTCGAGAAAGCACTCAAAGACCTGCGACTGGAACGCCTTGATAAGCTGCAATTCACCTCGTCGCTTGAGCTCAAATCCCTTCAGTTCAGCCAGCGAGTGATCAAAGTTGAACACTGCATACCGCTTCTTCAACAGTTTTCCCTCTTCGGTAGACGCAGGAAGCACCATGGCTTTGTATGGACCATCCACCTCGAATAGAATGGAGCACTCTTTGTGTGAATTGTACTTCCCTGTAGCGGGGTCCAGCTCGTGATACTGGGGGTTAGTGAACTTTGCGTGCACATCTGCGTTTAGCATCACACACGGGTACGAGATACTTCTCGAGCTGCCATCGTTGAGCTTAAACGAGAAGGTTTCTGGAAAAGACTTGGGTAGAATAGCCCAAATACCATCGGTATCCAGCTCCAGCGGTCGACCAATTTGCTCCACCAGCTCACGAGCACCAGTAATGATGTTAGAGCCCGTGTGCGTCACGATACCCGCCATTTCCATCGAGTGCCAACGCGCACCCTTCCGCATCACGTAGCCGTAAAACGAGTTCAGAATACACTTGTGCGCCAGCTGGAGGGAGTCGTACACAAGACACTTGTTTTGCGCATCAATCTTCGCCAGTAGATCCTTCGCCTCTGCAGCTTGCCCCACCTTCTTCTTCCAGACCTTCGTGAGGCCCTTGTACTCGTAGCGACGATCACGGAACGCTCGCACTGTGTTGACATAGAACGGGTTTTCCCGCATGCAGACTGTGGCCGATCGCTTCTGCTCCTCTGTCACCTTAGTCTTCTTGTACACACTGGAGCAATACGACTTGAAGCGCTGTTTCAGCAACAGTTCTTGCCTGTCATTAGGGAGTTGCGCGTAGGGGACTGCAGGTTGAGTGCTACGGTTGGGGCCTTTACTTGCATCTCCATTCGCTGCTCCTCCCTTCTTCTCCACAGGGAAATTCTCATATTCAATCTGGGTCTTGATGGAGTAGTATTCAGGGCGTGTGGCAGGGTAGAAGTCGCCACGCCATACCCAATCCATTTCACGCTGACACGAAGCATCTTTCTCTTTGATTGCAGCTCTGCCACACTCAGTATTGTACGCGCAAGCAGCACAATCGGCCTCATTCACAATAGCACACGGCTGCAGCCGGTTCGTCAGAATAATGTTCGGGTACATGGCAGCTACATCCAAGTGGTAAATGAGTGGTTGCTCCTTCCGGTTTGGTCTCTCGCGAAGTCCAACGAGGCGATCAACAATGTGATTTTTCACTTCTTCGTAGTTGGCGACACGATCAACTGGCACATTCATCTCGACCTCCAGCGAGAACGTCAAGTCACGGTCGATATTGTCGATCAGCTGCTGGAAAGCACTAGGTACCAGCTGAAAGTCGTACAAGAAATCAGCGCGAAAGACTCCGGACTCCAAACACTCGACGTGGCCACCCACATAGGTCTCGCTCTCGACAAGACGGCCTTTGTAAAACTTTTCTTCACGAGCGGAGCTTTGTTTGTTTGGGCAAATGATGTTGCCTTCAAAAGCCTCAACCATTAGCAAGGCTTCGCATAGAGTTCCGGACCCTTTGCGGAGCACATCTTCAGAGCCCAGAGGAATGATCGTGCACAGCGAAAACACGAACAGGTGCACGTACTTATCGTACAAGTAAAACGTGGCTACAGCATCGGAAACTGAGTACGACGCCATCTTCAAAGGTTCATCACGAGCCAGTGCGACCATATCTTCTGCGTCCACCTCGACTGGATCGTATCCCAGCTTGTACTTAGTCACTGCTTTCAAGCCCTGACTTCCCTGTGGCAAGTACGAGTCACGCTTTACCCAACAGAAGGCGTCCATGTGCACACTGCAGCGCCCGCGGTACTCGCCACTGCGTTCGTCAAGCGAAACGCCAATCTCATGCGCCATGTTGATGCCGTGGACTTGTGCACGTGCGTCAATAAATGGCCAATCGAAAAAGTCGCCGTTATAAGTCACGAAAATGTGCGGTTTCTCCTCGATCACATGCTCGAAGAAGCGCTTCAGTAGCTGCTCCTCGTTCTCCTCATTAAATACAATGAAAGGACCAGGATAGTCTTCCTTCGGCGTGTACTCGAAGTCTTGGATCTCTTCCGACACGAACTCCCGATTTACAATCAAGTATCCCTGCTTGTCGATCATGTACGAAATCATGTAGATCTGGTCTATCTGTGCGTCCGGGAACTTCAGTGGGGCCTTCGTACATTCAATATCGAAGGCACACACCACCGGTTCAGCTTTGTCCACCATATCCTTCTGTCGTTTCACATCCGAGGGCGAGTACGGCGCTGTTGGATCATAATTCACGTGATACCACGCACCCACTCGAATGTCAAGGTCAATGGCGACACGCATGGGGTACGGGACATCGTACTCTCTCAGCTCCAACAAAGAGCTCTCACTCTCATCCGTTCCTGCTCCTTTGGCTCCATCAGCATCCGCTCCGAAGACGAGATCGTCTTCCGTCACTTGTTCGCGTGTCTGGCCCTGCAGCTCATAGGCCTGCCGAGCCTGCAGTCTCTCCTGGTTCCTGGCCACCAAGGGGGCTAGCTCTCTCTTCACGGTCATCAAATCTGAGACCGTGTTGAAGCTCAGCTTCACGTACAGTGCCTTCTTACCATTCAGATGGTCAGCCATGTCGAGATCTTCTCGGAAAACTCTCTCCGCCTTGGCCACGAGGCCTTCGAATTGCCTCAAACAGTACGCGATGACCTCCTGCGATCTGTTGGTCTCGGAACGCACGTAGAAGTAAGGCTGGTAGATGATACGTGTCTTAAAGGCCTTGCCATCTTGCTCGAGGAAGTACAGTTCGAGGCCACTGACCTCGTTCTTGCCCTCCACTGGATCGGGCAGCGTGCAAGCTCGCAGATTGAGCAGCCAGCCGAGCTTAGCGTGGTCTTCTCCGTCCATGGCGACGTCTGGCTGCTCCTTCCTAGCTTCTTCTTCTTGTTCCAGAAGCTCTGGGAGCAGATAAAAGCCGAATTTCTTGTCGAGCTCGTTGCCTTTCTTGAGTGCGTACTGCTTGGCTTCCGTCATGCCACGTCCCGGCCGGTTACGCTGCGCGTTGGCGCGTGCGCCCTGAGAGTTACGTGCCCATGCCGAGCCTCCGCCGCGACTATAAGGATTGCGGGTTGTCTTTCCCCCGCCATACTGTGTCTTGCCGCGCTCCGCCATGGTTGGAGGTGCTTATTGCGGTTTCCGCGCGGAATTGGAAGAATGAAGGTCACTAAAAAAAGCGCGGGAAGCAATATGCTCAAAGATAGTAATAAAATGACATTTAGCAGGTTGGTATCGCCAACGCGCTGAAGTTTTAATGGCGGGTAGATGGTTTATATTACGTCTCATCCTGCGGCTATTGACTGGTAGCTACGGAGGTCAACTCGAAAGAAGAGCGTTGGCGAGAGCGGTCGCTCTGTTGTTGTCTTACTTGGTGAGCTTACGCTTCTTGGAAGGCTCCTCCACAGTCTCGAAGTACTTGAGCGAGTCCTTGGGGTTGGCGGTCATGCCCTTCGCGCCCTTCTTCCAGTTAGCGGGGCAGACGTCACCGTGCTCTTCGTGGAACTGGAAGGCCTCAATCAGACGCAGCACCTCGTCGACGTTGCGTCCGATCGGCAGGTCGTTGATGGTAATTTGGCGGAGCACTCCCTCCTTATCGATAATAAAGAGGCCACGGAAGGCCACGCCCTCGTCATCGCCCTCCGATACGAGCACCTCGTACTTGGAGCACAGGTCCTTCTTGACGTCGGCAACAAGCGGAATGTTCATGTCACCAAGACCACCCTTCTTGCGCGGCGTGTTGATCCACGCGAGATGCGTAAACTTGGAATCGATGGAGCAGCCGATCACCTGCGTGTTAAGCTTCTTGAATTCGTCAGCGCGGTCACTAAAGGCGCAGATCTCCGTAGGGCACACGAATGTGAAGTCCATGGGGTAGAAGAAGAGCACCACGTATTGGCCCTTGTAGTCCGACAGGGAGATCTTCTTGAATTCGCCGTTAACCACAGCATCGGCCGTGAACTCCGGGGCAGGCTTGCGGATCGTAAGGACCATCTTTCAAAAACGAGCTTGCGCGTTTAGAGGCAGATCTAAAACTGATGGATCCGCGGGACAGGATCATCACTTTGGCATACCGGTAAACTCGGTATGTATTCTATTGGATTGGAAAGGGGAATGTTGTCCGACGTCGGACACACCACTTTTACCAGTACTGTACGTGGTTTTGAAACTCGCTTAAGTACGTATTGTACAGAGCTCGTACTTAATCGAGTCGGTCTCTAGAAGAGAAGCATCCACCGACAAAGGGTCAAGTAGTAAGGACACCTGGTGCCGCCATGTCGTTTAGCAGCTTCTACTCGGTGGTGAACGCCATCAAGGATAAGTCGGCAGAGGCTATGACGACGCTGAGCTCCGATCTTCAGGAATTTAGGACCATCGTGCAGGAGGATGTGGCTGAGCTCAGCAAGAACGTGCGTCAGAATATGCAGGAAGGACGGCTCAGTATTGACCGCAACGACTCGGAGGACGACGAAGAGTCTAAGCAGGACCCGGATGGCCAGAAAAATGATAAAGAGCCAAAAGATCCCACACAATCCGCCACAGAAGAGCAAAATGAGGATCAATACCCGCTGACGTCGCTGAAGAACTCGCTCTTCTCCTTCGACATGACCAGCTCGCTTAACTCAGTTAGCAGCTCTGTGCAAGGGTCACTTACTTCAGTGCAGGGATCTCTGACCACAGTAGGCAACAAGCTGACGTCGCTGAACGTCGGATCAAGTCTCGGCTCGCTCGAGGCCATGGGGTCCAAGCTACTCAACTCGGCAGACGAGTTCCTTGGTACATTGGCGGGAGATAACATGTACGAAAACGACGAAGAGCTCAGTGAGAGTGAGCTTAGTGCCAGGCGATTCCGGTTGCTAGCATTACAGGAGGATTCGGAGACATACGTCGAGCCACCGCTCGACGTCGAGACCTTTGAAAAGTGGAAAGCTACGACGCCTGCTGAGGAGCTGGAAGAGATCCATAAGGAGGTGCTGGAGAACTACCCGACGGTCGGAGCCAAGTTCACGGAGCTGGTGCCGTCTTTAGTGGAGGCTGATGTGTTCTGGGCGCACTATATCTACAAGGCCTCACTGTTGGCGGCGCAAGAGCAGCGTGGTGCTGACCTGCTTGAACACGGTTCGTATTTGAAGTGGGACGTGGTGCTTTGTGGGCTGCTATGAGCGACTGACAATGTTTCATTTGGTTATGTGTCAGCTCTGAACGATGACGAGGAGGAAATTGGCTGGGATGTTGACTCACCGAAGGCCAAGGACGACGAGGGCAAGCCGATTTTCCCTGACGACGAGTCGAAGGAGGAGGAGGAAGGCAAGACACCAGCTTCTACCGCCGCGAACGGCCCGACATCCTCCAGCGATGGAGAGAGTTGGATCGAACTGGACGAGCGGAAGGAGTCGAATTCGCCAGGTGCGTCGTCGAGTCTGAAGGAGCCGACCAGTGCGCTGACCGACTTGAAACTAGAGGAAGGAGATGAAGCTGCCGAGGAGGACTCGCTGGACTGGGGTGACGATGACGATCTGGCGGTTCCGGAGGCAACAGCTACTGCTACATCGGAAGCCAAGGCCCCTGAGGCGACGCCAGCAAGCCACGAGGATGCCAGCAAACGTGGGGAGGACTGGGGCGAGTGGGATTAAGTTAAGTAGCTGTCCGCACATACTTCATCGATCCTTTAACTTTCATACATTTACTGTTTACGGCAGTCTGTATGCAATATGCTGTAAGCTTCATAATTTGTGTACCACAGTCTTGATGGTGTTGACATCAGGCCAAAGACCTTCAATTAGAAACTTTACCGAATGATCGTTATCTTAGCGTGCTGGTGTGACGAAGTCGCTGCTGAGCCCCTCTTTTTGTATGAAATCTTTTCAGCAGCGTTTGACCTGACGACCGTGACCTATACCAGACTGGGAAAAAAACTTGTTTGACTCAAACTCATGGTTGACTCAACTCATGTTTGACGTAAGAAGATGCTGGCGTTTTCTGGCCTGAAATGGAAACTGTTACCGGAATTATCGCGTTCCCCCTTGCAAATTCCAAGTTGCCGTCAAGATGAATATCTCGGACCTGTTGTGTTCGCCGGCCACACATGGGGTCAAAATGAACATCTCGGATTTATTATCCTCGCCGGTCCCTGATGGCGTCACAATGAACATCTCGAACATATTGTGCTCGCCACTCGAAGCGCCCGCTGAGCCTACACCGATAACTCCGGAACCGCGCATAGTTGCAACATGTGAGCCGCCCAGACGTCCTCAAGCTCGGTCTATGAAACGACAGAGCAAGTTCGTGGCCGATGATCAGCGCAAGCGTCCGTACCGAATGAGCGAAACGCAGAAAAAGAGTCGCCAAAATTTTCAGCAGCACGAGTCCAAGGTGTTTAATCTGACGCTCGATATCAACGATCTCAAGCAGCAAGTGCAGTATCTTCTCGAGTGTCGGGACCTGCAGGTCACGTGTCTGCTACAAATGCGCCAACGATTGGAAGCCGCTGTCTTGGGGACGGTGGATAAGATCCTGTTCGGTGGGAGTGATCGTCCTCGCTCGGGTGACGAAGGCTGCAGCTTCTCGAGGATGTTCATGGACCAGTCTGATGGATCGACGCCACCGAATGGCATCTACGAGTTCTCTCTGCAGCTCGACAAGCCGAACTTCAATCACCGTTCGTGCACTATCGCAACGACGCAAGTGATGTCTGTCGTGGAGGAAGACCCCGAGGGTGACAACGAAGATGCGGCGGACGTTCGGAAGATCTGCGGGGACCCGGGAGGCTGCTTGGTGGAGGCGGTTGGTCAGTTTACGGGTCGATTCACGCGCCAGATCATCGTCTCCATGTTCCCTCATGTGCTCAGCGACGAGATGATGGTGGCGCAGATCATTAATTTGAGCATCACGTGTCCTGCACGGCTGCTACTGTATTTTAATGCGCACAAAACGATCGTCCGGCAAACAGCCCAAGCTGACGTGTTTGCTGCTCTGGCAGCGTTGCAGCAGGCCAAGCCACAAGAATTTGCCGCGATCATGGGCACTGCTGCTGCGTAGGACGAAGAAACACTACTCACGTACTACTACGTAGTAGTAATGAACATATATGTATATCTGCTGAGTCGACATGTAAAACTTATGAGGCGTTGAACAGTTTTTTTATTCTTCCAACTTTTACAGTACCGACCGTCGGCCGAGAATTAACGTTGCTATACATGTAGTACAGGCTGTGCATCCCACGTAATGTTCGTTTACTTCATGATTGCAACGTTGCGTCCACCTATGCGCGTTTTCTAAAAGTCATCGAAAAGAGAGCGGACTCCGGCTGCCCCATTTGATCGAACTTGGCGATAACCACGCCTGCTAATTTGTGGACTTGTTTCCAGCCTCGCAGCACAATTGGCAACAGTCTTGTGAGGCTTCCAGCGTCTTCTCCATGCAGCAAACTCGTGACGGCACTCCTCAACATATTGTTCGTCTTCCATCGTTACATACACAGCGGAAGGCCCACAGATCTCTTGTTGCAGTGTCTCGAAGCAGCTCTTGTAGCCACCGTCAACTAGATACAACTCCGGGTAGTACAGCTCAGGGTAACTGTCAGCATGCAGTCTCCGATCCACATTGCGTACATGGCGCAGCATCTTCGGCGCTCGGTTAGCCGAAAACTCACAAAAGAAAATCAGCGCCATACGGGCGGAGTGCTCCAATGTCGTCGATAGGAAAAACTGCGTCTCCATCTTTTCGGGATCACACAGTGAGGTGGCACCTTTCAAGCTGCCGCCTTCAAACTCGTATGGAAATCTACAATCCAAAAGCTGAAACCCTGCCAAATGCTCTTTAAAATCGCCTCTCAGTAGTTTTGCAACAGTCTCGGGCGTGATCACATTCAGGTCAGGGTGTTTGCTTGAGTATACCGTCGGCAAAACTGCTTCCTGTGGTGGCGCAGAGGCACTTTTAATCAGCTGCTCGGATGCATGATGGCGAAGAAGTCGCGGCGGCACTACGGGAGCAGGTGATAGGCTGGTCGACGTCATTACGGAGTAGCTGGACACCGCTCGCTTGAGCACATGCGGCTTCATCTCAAGTGCAGCTTCAGCTCGTCTCCTTGACTTTTTCTGGTGAATTTTTCGCTGCGTTAGTGTTGATCTCGGGGACACCTCTACTTCACCAACTGCTCTCTTTCGGTCTTGAACCTGTTTGTCTATCGCCATATTTGGTGCCACATTATCTTTTCTTTTGGGGTCATCTGCCACATGTTGTGTATTTTCGGAATCGAAAATAACTCGTCGTCGACTTTGTGGCACGTCTGCTCGCGGTTCCAGTAGTCGCCGCGACCTGTTTCTAAGGCCTTTCGTGGGCCTCTCTGAGTTATCTGCCGCATTCTGCCGCATGAAAGGAGGCCCTGGGGGAGTGGACAACTGCAGTTGCGAGGAGAGCAACGGCGTCAGGTGAGAGCGGCAAGGCTGCCCAGCCCAGGAAAATGACTTGATTTGTGGGTCACATGAAATGTGCTAGTTCAGAAAATGACCAAATAGAAAATCGTTCATTTTTTCTTACCTATTTTCAATGCTGGGTGCCAGCTCAAAATTTGTTGAGTGCAGTGCCCTCTTTTATAAGGCAGCAGAAAGAAATAGGTGCAGCACCTACTTTTTTTTGGACATCGACGGTTTATATGAGTTGCTGTGGGCGGCGATCTGCGCTCAGAAACACCACAGTGTGCTGGACATCACCTCTGACTCAGAGTGAATCTTATGCTCACGTCAGCTGTAAAAGCTTCCGGTAGATAAGATGTTGAAGTAGTGCGCCAATTTTATTTAATATATTTAGGATCAATGCGGCTGTCGAGCTTGACGGCAAGGAGAGACTTTATCACTTGTGGACTCTCCTTCTCCTTGCCAAGCACTGTAACCAAGATCCCGGAGCTGAGGCCCCGCTAGCCAGCGTTCAACTTCCTTCTATATCTACTTCAGATTGAGCAAACGTCTGGTTATGACCCCAAACAGGGTCTCTCTTCGTGTCCAAGGATCATCAAGGAGGGTGGTCCAAGCTGAGCCGAAAGGTCGCAAGGAGGGCAGCAGTGACGACGGGGACACCGCCAGTGAAGCGGCGTCGGAGCCGCCAGGCTCGCCACCGTCGTCACCATCGTCCGGTGGCGCTCCCGCAAGCAGAAGTTCTGCGAGCTCTGTGCATTTGGATTCCTCGTCAGACTGTAGTGCGTCTGAATCAAGTTCAAGTAGCTCGGAAGGGCGAAGCAGCTCTAAGCGAAAGCGTGCTACCAAGAAAAAAAACTCCAGCAATAAGAAGCGTAGTCGGTCCGCGGTTAGGGACACCCCAACCCTCGAAGTGCCCAATCTCACTGGTGCTGACGTCTATGAGCTATGGCGGACAATGATCGAGTTAAAACTCAAGGTACAAAAAATGTGGTCTTTAGTGATCGAAGAAGTGGTTCGAGACAGCTCCTGGAGCTCTGCCAAGAAGCGTCGCTGGAACGAGCGCTGGCTCAAGGCTCACGCTGTCATCGCTGGCTCGCTTGGCCCGCGCTTAGCCGGTCGGTACAGACGACGGCTTGTGAGTTGTGATCCTGTGCAGCTATTTAAAGATATCGAGAAAGAATACAATGCTGAAAGCGCCGCCAAGAACGACATCCTGATCAAGGCCGCGATGTTTGCGCGGAAATTAGCTAAGCGTGAGCGTGTTGACACGTACATCGACGCTGTTATGCAGCTACAAAAAGATCTCGTGACGCTTGGGCACCCTAATGAAGATGCTGAACTTGCCCGACTTCTCCTTACAAATACCCTTGAAGTATTCCCGACCTAAGTACAGAGTTGGCTGGAGCAAGGATGAAAGCCAGGGAGTTTGTAGTCAGTCAAGTACGTGGACGACTCTTGGCAAGAGAGCAGGAGGAGAATATGCGACTTCCTTCCAGTGGTAATATGTCTCAAAGCGGTGGTAACGCTACAGGTTATCAAGGGGGCCAATCTACTACAAATGCAGTTTTTCAGTTTTCGACTGAAGGAAATGACGGCCCAGCATCAAGGCACGGAGAGCCAGAGCCACCGACGGTCAGTGAAGGAATCTATGCAGCGACGACCGTGTGCAAAGTGTGGCAAACTAGGCACTGGTATCGAGAATGCTGGCAGAAGGGCGACCAGAACTCTGGCAACCAACAGAAGAACAGCGGTAGCAGAGGGTCGTCTAGGCTAGGTGGCGGTCGTCATGGTGGTCGAGGTGGTGGCCGGCATGGCAAGTCTGGTCATAAGTCATGCATGGCAAATATCGGTGGAGCTGCTGATGTAATGGAGTGGTGCTTAGACAGCGCTGCGACGGGGAACATCTGCAGCAATCTTTCACAGTTCACTAAGATCGCGACAATTGGTGATGATCTTGAAATGTTGTGCGCAACTGGAAATACTGTGAGCATAAATTAAGCTGGTACTGTGGAATTCTTGATCGTTAACGAGCTAACAGGACGCCAGGAGAAGCGTCTTCTTCCTGATGTCAACTATGTGCCAGATGCGCCCGTTAACTTGCTCTCACAGGATACATGTAGAGACAACTGAACTACTTTGTCTCCATGTCTGCAGATCAGCCGCTCTGCTATTTGAGCCAAAAAAACGGGATGCGCCTCAAGTTTGTAAGAGTTGGCGGTTTGTATCGATTGTGGTCATCACGCCAGTACAAGAAGAAGAAATATGTTATCTTCAGTGCAATAGTGAGCTCCAGTAAGTCCGTACCTTTGGTGGTCTGTCATAAGCGATTCGTACATGCATGCGCCTCGACGATCTGAGACATGGACAAAACGAAAGCTGCTCACGGTCTAAATATTGCTGCTGGAAAGGGAGGCTCGTTATCCAGCTGCCTTCCTTCTGTTCATGGCAAGAAGGTTCCCCAAAGCGGTTAGTACATGCGACACACCCCTTACAGCGACTTCAAGTCGATGCTTGTTCGGTGAATGAGCTCACTATCGATGGGAGTACTGCTTTCTTGCTTGTAGTGGACGAATTCAGCAGATACAAGTGGATCTATCTCCTGCGGCACAAGGGTGACGCGAAATCACATATCATCACGCTTGTAAACCACCTATATGTGAAATATCGAGCTAAGAACTGCCGCGTAGACGAAATACACTCGGACCAAGGGGAAGCGTTCGATAACACATGCCTTCAAGAATTCAGCGCTAAGAAGGGGATTTATCTTTCAACGACTAATGGCTATACTCCACAAGAAAACGGTATCGTTGAGCGTGCGAACGGAATCGTTTTGCCTAAGGCTCGAGATCTTCTTCATATGACAAACCTTCCGAGGTTTCTGTGAGGAGAGGCCGTGCAGCATGTTGTCTACATGCTGAACGTCACGGTGACGAGAGTCTTAGGAGGGATAACACCACACGAAAAGTTCTCCGGTTAGCTGTCTGATGTGTCGTGCTTAAGGACCTGGAGATGCCTGGCATACTATCACATTACTAGTGCAGCGCGATCCAAGAAGAAGAAATTGTCGTCTAGAGTTGTAACGTTAACTCTCATAGATTACTCTCCTGCTACGTATGGCTATAAGGTTTTGGATCTCTCGAGCGGGGTAGTTTCGACTCATCGTGGTGGGAACTATACCTTTGCCGAAGACTACGCAGTGGCGCGTAACTACATGGACATGCTATTGAGTAATGCTTGCAACCATGGCGATCATGATCTTCCAGCGAGGGTATCGCTTGTACCAATGCAAATGCAGCTAGAGGACGCTGTACGGTTAGATTTAGACGGACAGAGTATTCTCGTGCAGACCAACCAAGTTCAAGTTGTCGTGAAGCCGCGTGATGCTGCTATCCTTACCAATCCTGCTCTTGCCGATGATCAGCCTAATATCCATGTACTTCCACTGGACGTTACAGGGAGTACTTCCGTTGTAAATAATGTTGAAGGTGATACTGTGGCCCGGCATAACGTTTCACGATCTGTAAGAAAAACGGATAAGAAGCTCACGGCTGGGTGATTTCGAGCTTCATCTCGCTATCCACAAGGTGTTGAAGGTTTTGGAGAGCGAGTTTACGACCAATAAGTGAATCGAAATTGCACTCTCGAGATGTACCGATTCCAGCCACTTACAAACAATCCATTCGCTCAAAATTTGCGTCGCAATGGCAGGCAGCCATGGACTAAGAGCTGGATTCGCTACACAGACATGGTGTGTGGATTATTGTGGAGCGTTCGAAGTCGAGAGGGGCACAGGTTATCACGAACCGGTGGGTGTACACTGTGAAGAAGGACGAGCAAATATTTGTGAAGAGATTCAGGGCTCGGCTTGTCATTCATGGATTCGAGCAAAAATTCGGTATCAACTACAACGAGAATTTTGCTCCAGTGATTTGCTTTGACACAAATCGAGTGGCCATTTATTTCGAAGTTCAACGGCGGTGGGCTGTTTTCCAATACGATGTTAAGCAGCATTTCTTCACGGGAAATTAGCAGAGCTAGTTTTCACAATTTACCTCAAGGCTGTGGCTCGCCTGGAAATCAGCGGATTTATCAGCTGGTCAAGTCGCTATACGGCTTGAAACAAGCCCCGCATGTCTGTAACAAGACGCTGCATCGACATATCGTTGCTCTTGAATTTATTCGCTTGGAAAGCGACCATGGCCTTTATTCCCTCGTCGAGAATGGGGAGGTAGTCATGCTCCTAACAGTTTACGTTGACGACGCGCTGCTCATGGAAGAACAAGCTCGGTGCTAAGCCATTACCCGAAAATTAGCAACCAACTTTGAATTAGTGGAGCTTGGACCAGTCAAGTACCAATTGGGGATAGAAGTGACCATCAATCGTGCAAGTGGCTATGTATTCTTCAGTCAACTCAACTACGTAGACGAGGTGCTACGCAGATGTCACATGTACGACTGCCATGGGGCGCTACACCTGTTGCAACAGCAGTGGACACTAACACTGAAAATTTGTCTACTGACATTAGTAATTTGCCGTGTAGAGAAGCTGTTGGAGCATTTTAGTATCTTGTCTCGGGATCTCGGCCGGATATTGCCCACGTCGTCCGTCGTCTCGGACAGTACATGTCGTGCTTCAGTGCTGTTCACTATGCCCAAGTCAAGCGTGTACTGCGATACTTGCAACCTACTAAGGACTTTGGACTCTGTATGGTCGTATCGAGCTCGACCAAGGTGGATTTGCAACGTATCGAAAATTACAGCGATGCAGACTACTCCAATGAAAAGATGGATTGTCAGTCAGTCAGCGGGTACGTCACTATGCTGAAAGGCAGTGCTATTTTGTATGGCTCAAGAAAGCAGGGACTAAAAGCTTAAAGTACCATGGAAGCCGAATATATTGCGATGAACGAAGGCGCGGGAGACATTATGTGACTGCGTGGTCTCTTTGATGAGCTCATGTGGAGTTACGACCTGCCAACACTTTGTGTGACAACACTGCAACTATTTCTCCGTCGAAGAAGCCTGGGAAGCATAACGGTAGCAAACACATCAAAACCCGGTTCCACTACGTTCGAAATTTCGAAGATAGAGAGCTACTGGCAGTGCAGCATTGCGGAACTAATGACATGACAGCAGACATCTTAATTAAACCGCTGGTCAGAGTCAAGTTCGAGTATTTCCGAAATTTAGTAGGTGTGGTTCGTTGTGCTGGGCAAGGAAGCGCGAAGGTCGCTTCGAGCCAGGACGATGGTGTGTCTTCGGTCTGGGTGATGACCAATTTCAGTCAGACTCAAACCGATCGGTGCTAGCACATAAGAGAAGATGGTATCTCCAGGGAGACTCTCAACGATGTTTCATTAATGAACTGACAATTGAACCGATGTTCGTGTACGGGTTGGTGGCGCGATGGTCGCGTGGTTTTGCAGTGCGAAGCTCGTACTCAGTGGGTTAGAAGCAACGAAGTTCGTTAGCTGAGCTAGAGCTACGTGTCGTACTTGCTGTTTGAGACAGGCTACGTGAGCAAGGGGGAACGTTGGACATCACCTCTGACTCAGAGTGAAGATTACGCTCACGTCAGCTGTGAAAGTTTCCGGTAGATAAGATGTTGAAGTAGTGCACCAATTTTATATAATATATTTAGGGTCAATGCGGCTGCAGAACTTGACGGCAAGGGGAGACTTTATCACTTTTTGATTCTCCTTCTCCTTGCCAAGCACTGCAGTTAAGATCCCGGAGCTGAGGCCGTATCCGATCGTATAGATCGGTTGTCAGCGGTGTGATGTGGGCCAACTCGTAGTCTGGACGCCGAGAGAGGGCGTGCGCAAGCACGTTGAGCTTGTCTGGCTTGTATTCGACGCGGATTTTGTACTCCACCAAAAAGGACAGCGACCTCGCAATCCGCTGGGAGAGGTCAGGCGAGTTAGTCGCCGTCCTCAAGGATGCGTGGTCTGTGTAGATCACGAAGGGCCGTGAGCCCAGAAGGTGAGCACGAAACTTAACAAGGGTATACTTAATTGCCAGGAGCTCCTTGTCGTGGTCAGGGTAGTTCCGTTCGGCGGCTTTGTGCTGCCTGGACTGGAACGAGATGACTCGTTCATGTCCAGCCGTGTCGGCCTGCAGCAATGCACACCCGATGGCGTTGTCGGAGGCATCATAGACGACGCTAAACGGCTTCGTCTCGTCCGGCAGGGCCAGGACAGGGGTCTCTTGAGACTGGTCTTGATGCTGTCAAAAGCATCCTGGTTGCTCTTGGTCCCAGCGCCAGTCGACGTCCTTCTGAAGGAGGTCCGACAAGGAGCTTAGCGAAGCTCGCGTACCGTGCGCTTTACTGGTGAAGGTAGTTGGCCAAGCTCAACCAAATTTCGAAGATCCTTTTGGGATCGGGGCGTCGACCATGCTGCTATGGCCTTGACCTTGTCTGGTCAGCCCGAATGCCCACGTTGCTTACGAAGCAGCCGAGAACTGTAATCTCTGGTGACGCGAAAACGCACTTGTCGATGTTGGCGTAGAGCTTGTTCGCTCGCATTACGTCCAACACTCGACGGGGGTGTCCTAAATGCACCTCCATGGCCGTCTTGCCTCCCTCGGCACGCTATGGACGAAGATGTCGTCGAAGTACGTCTGTACGAAGGCGCACAGTGGCCTGAACAATTGCGTCACCAGGCGGTTGAACGTCGCCGAGGCA